TAGCACTTGCTATTAAGATTCCACTATTATCCTCTAATTGTACATTAGCATTTGCCCTGTGATGGTGGAAATTGACTCCATTATTATTTAAGAAGTATAAGATTGAAATAAAAGAATACTGGTCAATTAGAAGCATCACCTAGGGACAGCCTTCGAGGAAGGATATTTGCAGTAAATGCACTCGAAAGTTTTGCCAAAATCTGTGTGGCAGATTCTATTACAGTTGCTACAAGACATATTCCAAAAAGTTTGTTTTGCTGCTGTGATGGTTGCTTTTGCTTTGATCCAAAAGTATCTACACTGTGAAACCATTAATTGTTAACAGAAATTTGAGAGAAATAAATAGTGAGTTGACAATTTAAACAGCTCACCCCCAACAAACGGCCTTTTATAATTTGTATCTGCGTAAATTTCTTGTGGGTTGGAGGAGACAACTTTGTTGGTGTTACTGTAAAACATGGTTTTTCCAGTGTGATTTCATTTAGCTCTTCAGCATGTGCTTCCACCCTTACATGACATAATGTTTTTGATTACAAAAAAAATAACTAAGGAAAAAGAAGTATAGGTTGACAAAGCTGAAATGAAGTACAGTAAAATATTTACCATGCTCGAAACTCCGTAACTTGGTTAAAAGTAGCATCTATGAAGAAGGTGCTATTTATTTTAGTTGACAGTGTAAGGCCTGCATTAAAGACTAATATTAATCCTAGTTTGTATAGATGTCCACATCCACATATAAAAAAAAGGTTGGATAGAAAGGTCTATAAGTTATCACCATTAAAAGATGAAACTTTCAACCGATTTCCTAAAATGACAGGTTTTTTAGCAATCTTCTCAGCGAGGATAATACATTCTTTTTCCACATAAATATCCCACATTGTCAAAATGATTGTATGAAAACTTTTATCAATCAGTACGACATCTTGCACATAAGTTTGGTTGCCATATCGTGTTTGAATAAGTCTTTTTGGCCGCATGTCAATAGCAACCGCAAGGATGCCCAGATATTAATTATAATAACAGAATTGAAAAAGTCAATAAAAGTTAATAG